AGCTGGTGAAAGATGGTGCGGCTTACCTTAGTCTAGTCGAGGCTGGCGTGTACTGCTGGACAGATACCGGGCCAGTACTGTGACCCCTGTGCGGGAGCACGTGGCAGCAGCCCTGTTGTACAGTGTTAACGCTGCGGCTTCTCTTTCAGTTTTGTTTTGGGGGTTTAACTCGGTGGTGCACTGCGACCGGCCGTACAGCCCATACTCTAGGACACACGTGATTAGGCAAAAGACTTGCTTTAAAAAGGGATGGCAGAAAGTCCAGCAGTGGAACCGATGAGACTTGCAAATGTAAAGGTGACTCTCCCTGCATGTTCTAAGAAGGGAGATGATGGAGTTGTCTATTCCAAACAAATTAACACACTGCCTGATGTTGATTGTATGAATTTGTGGTTAATGTGAATTTTAAACTCTAACAAATCTACAACTGGATTCGGGGGCGGGGGGGAGGGAGGGAATAGAATGATGCTTAAAATTGTTGTACCCAACTTGGTCAATAAAGCAGCACAAGTTCATAATCTTAATCACTGGTCAGTAAACAGTAATTAAAATGTATGCCAAAACAACTTTCTGAAGAAACGCACAGTATAAAAGTACACTTTATTAAGATTATCAACAGCTGTTGGGGTTGCAGAGTCAGTTCTAGTCCTTTTTGGTTGCTTTGGACTATTACCAAATTAATTCCTTGGGCTTAAATTTTCCATAATGGTACTCTGCCCTCAAGGAGACAGCCTGATCCAGAGTTTTGGCAGTTTGACAAGGGAGAGGATGTAGAAAGCTTTTCCTCCTCCTTTTTTTTTCTTTTGTTCTTTTTTTAATTTAAGAAGTATTAGTACTTTAGCTATGTGCACTTTGAATTGGAAAGGGCATTGTACACCTCTTGCCAGATTTGTCTGAGTTACGAGCAGATTGCCAGGATTTATGGGCTCTAGTAGTTCAGGTGCTTATTTCAGAAAAGTCTTTTTGAGGACTCTTTGTATTGCATCTACTGACCAGAGCTGCTTCTGGGATGGAAACAAAATACAGTTTGCACGCAGTAAGGCTGTGCTCAGGCCTAAAGCGAATGATCTTTGCAATGGTAGTAGGAATGTGGAGGTGAAGTTGTTACTAGTACCTCTTGTTCCACAAAGAAAGGAGACTTGTGCGTATTCCATCAACTGTTATGGAACAAGGTATCTTCCTTGCCCTAAAGGGACAAGGATCAAGGTCTCATGTTGTGTACAGCACAGAAATGGTATTTGGTTCTCCACCACACATTTCCAAGAAATAAAGCCCCTTGTTAGTCTGTCACAGTGCTCTAGAAATGCCTAACTTAACTTTTCATGGACATAGTTGTCTTTAATTAAACTTTTTACCCCTTCGGCTTCTTGCCTTCAGTCTCTGTACTAAGTATTTGAAGATCTCCTTGCCTCATTTGCTGAACTAGTTGGAAGGTGTGTATAAAAACCAAAAGTAACTATGATGGTAGAGCAATAGAAGGATCTACTCTGGGAGAACTAGGTGTTGTATCTGTCTTGGCTGAAGTCTGGCTTTATGATGTATGACTTAAAGTAATTAACTTGGGATGTGGGAGTAGCTCCTAATCAGACTCTTGTTTAAATGTCTGGTTTGATAGAGCTAAAACATCAGAGATGTTGATTGTTTTGCTTAGTCTATGGTGTCCATGTAAGCACTGGTTTCACAGCTGTACAGTTACCAAATCTGGGAACATGCAATCTCTTGTACTTGTTACTTTGTTCTTTTTTTTCTTTTTTTCTTTTTTTTTTTTTGGTCTATATTCCCCATGTGTAATGTAAAGATACATGTTATCTCACAGCAGCGAGGAGCAAATGAATCCAGCCCACTGAAGACTCCATCTAAAAAATAACTATTTAGGCAAGTTCTGGATTTCATGCCTTAAAAGATGTGGTACTGTATGTGGATTTAACCTTTGGTCTTAAGGAAGAAAAAAAAAAAAGGAAAAAAATTAAGGTCTGTAATGCCCTAATTATGACACTTCTTGATTTTGAGGTTTTTGTTTTAGTTTCATTCCTTGTTGTTTAGAATGATATATGAATCTAAAGCTAGTGCAGCGATGTGCTTCTGTTAAATTTGTAAATTTGAATCGGTTCGAGTGTCCTTTGCATGCAGGAATAGATAAGTAGTGATATATTAAAAAGAACAACTAGGAAACACTCTCTTGGAACCTGGTTATTTATGCAGCGCTTTAGCTGTCTTAAAGGTGAATAGTCTGTGGCTCGTGCTGATGGAAGACATGATCTGTTTGGCTGGTGGATTTCCTTTTGCTACAGCACTATTTTCCTAGAAGTAACCATGCTGAAAGTGCTTCTGACTTCCCTGTGGCAAGGAGCGTTTTGAAACAGGTGCCCAAGAACTTGTAGCCAGCCTCCACCAGGATGATTTCTTGGCAGTCTTCTAATTTGTAGTTTTTAAATAGTTAGGACTGGAGGAGCAGGAAGGTGAAGTTTCTATGCCTTGGAAAACTCAAAAACTGCCTATTGAAGTGTGAAACCTATTATGAAGTCATAATCAACTGCTACAGTCTCTCACTCTCCCAAACAATTCATAGTTGTGATGAAAATTCACCCCATTTGGACAAGTTAAATAAATAAATCTTACCATTCTGCAAGCATCTGAAGTAATGGTAGTATTTACTGCAAATAACCTTCAGGCGGAAGCGCAGGAGGCTGGGTAGTGTGCTGCGGCTGCTGTTACAGGGCAAGTTCATTGAAGCCAGATGGCCTTCAAGAGCAGCCCTGAAGCCCAGAGCTGTAAGCAACTGGAATATTCTTCCAAAATGACAGGTAAAGCTAGGACTGAAAACCAACAGACAGCTGACAGTACAAGGAGGGTTACAGCTCAGGTGATGATGCAAAGCGTGAGATAAAGAATTTGGTGGTAAATTTTTGAAATTACACAGTTCTAGACTACTAGAATGTAACTGCAATTCAAATTCTTGGGAATGACTGCAAGCTATTACTTGGCGTTCCTATCTCTCCATAACTCTCATGTACTAGATGTGAAAATACAAACGAACTGAAATTAATAGTAATTATGGCTCTAGTCCAGATATGAGAATGGTTACTGGCTTGATTAAAATTACTTTCCCATAGAGGCAGCTGCAGAATTGCTTTTTCCTGTTGCTTTCAGTAACCTGTTCCACGTGCTGATACGCTCTGCAAGTTGCGCTGACATGCTGTGTGTTCCTCAAGCACACGCCCGGAAGGTGCTGCCGGTTTCAGAAGCGGGGCTGCGGGCTCTGAGGTCACAGGCCTTCAGAAAGGTGCTTAACCCATGTGACAGCAGGGGAAGCCACAGTCCCTTCAGTGCACCAGAACATGGTCGCTGGGAGAACCTCTAGCGTGGGGCTAAACATTAGCTTACAGCAGACTGCAAAGCCCAGTAGCAGAGGCTATGTCTGCTGGAGGCAGACGAGCCAGATTAAAAAAAGGCACAGAGTTAACCGTTACTCTCTTAAAAGTAGTTAATGCACCAGCTGCTTTAGAAGCCGTGTCCTCCGGTATTCTGCATGATGCCATTAGCACTGGACTTTCTTGGTGTCTGCTACTCATTCAAAGGGGAAAAGTTCAGTAATATGCTTCTAGGTTAGTTAGGGAGAAGTGTAAAGATGAATTAAAAGTCGGATTGTACGACCCTGAACTCCACCAGAAATGGAGTATTTGACATTATCAAGGTTTTTCATCTTCTAATGTGCCTTTTTCCATCAAAAAAAGAGGGGCTTTCCCTTCATCTAGGTTTTCTAGATGTCTTGTTCAGTGTACCACTAGGCTGACAGTGTCACGGCAGTTACTATCAAGTAACAGATGTAAACACAAAGCATCCAGTGTAATTTTATACATGCCGTTGTCTTGCGGTAGGATAACTCCTTTATGTGCCCACATTCTTAAAGCTCACAGGTCCTTTCGTCAAGTACGGCCTGGCTGCAGTCTAAGGCTACCATTCCAGTGTCACATGCAGATTCTGAGGGGGTGAGCAGAAGGGGCACTGTGCTAAGGATGAGAGTGGCTGATCCCGTGGCATGAGCACTGCTTTGCTTTCTGTGCACAATACCCTTTTGAATTCACAATCTTGCTGGAGTGCACAAGCATGACTTGTATTCTACATACTACTCTTCAGATCTGGTATTCTCTGCTGCAGGAGTCTGATCACCCCATAGCTGTGTAAAAAGCGACGTACACACCTCCAAAAGAACAGCTTTGACTGCCTGAAGCGAAAAAGACTGCATTAAACCTGCCAGTAGACTCTACTGTTGCGATGCACGTAGAGAGTTGGATCCGCAGCCCCCTGCTGCCTCTCACTTTCTGTGTCTTCCATCAGATGGCATAACTATGTTACTGCTCCAACTTCTGATTCAGGCTGTAGTTTAGTTTAGTTTGTACAAACTACTTCTTAAAAGTCTAGCTCATTTTAACAGAAGTGTGTATGGGAATATTGGACAGCTATGCCAAGCAGCTCTGAGGAATCTTAACCTTTTCATCTGATTCAGCTGCAGCCAGAACTCTCTGTGTGTCCATCTAACTGGTGTCTATCTTTGTGGAGTTCAGAGCTGACTCTAAACCAAGAGGTGCAATGTACCAAGGTTTAGCTGTCGAGCTTCTGGCAAGGAGCTGTAAGCAGTCTTGGGAGGGGTTTTGCCAAGAATTCCACCCCTCTAAAATGGTTATGAGTTACCGCACAGTTGCATGTGTGTGAAGAATAGAGACCAGTCCAGGCACAATTCAGACCAGTAAAACAGATAATCATGTTTTATCAAGTTTTATTTTAAAAGGGCTTTCTAAAATACAAAAGGAGATGTCCAAGGCCTCTTCCTTAACCTCCTTCAAAAGTCCTTTGAAGTGTTTTAGGATGGGTGTTGTGCGATAGTTGTTGTCCGTGAGGTTCAACTAGATTGTATCCCTCCTGGTGCTGCCTGTGTAGACCCGAGAAGTACAGCAACTGCACACTCGAGTGTTCTTTTCCATTAAATGGAACTAGCACACCTATGACCTCCAGGTATAAGCATAATCCCTCATTTCCAAGAATCGGATGGAAGATTTTCCCAGTGTTGGACACTGACTCAGTTGATCCAAAGTCTTAGGATGCAGTCCACACGTAGGAAGATCTTTGAGTATGTTTTCCTGTGGAAATTCATATGAAGAGGAGAGGCATGGGATAGGTATTTGTTTGAAATACATGTAGTTGTTAATATTCATTTGTGTACCTCTGGGGAACTCCTGAAAAGCTAGTTTTCCAATTACTCCATTTCTGAGGGAATGACAAGCCACAAGGACCAGCAGGAGTCATCACAAGTAACTGGGTGCAAACCCATGTATTAAGGTAAAGTTTTGTGTCGCTCAGCATCCTATGGTGTGTAATAAAGATGCTATTCCTAAGAGGAAGGATTGTCTCTGCTAGTTTCCTTACCTTATTTAAGGCAGGGCTTGCACTGTCCAGATCAGTGTTAAACACAGCCGTTGGCTCATGTGTATATAATAGAGCAGAGAAGGTTCCCCTCTGTGCCGGCTTGAGCAGCATGGTCAATAAATGCAGGGAATGAGGCATGACAGGGCCTATGATCTCCAGGCTGAATATATTCTCGTACGCCGAGTGAACCCTGGCTTTGGCATTTATACTTCGAGCCTGAAGACAAGACCACATACATAGGACTAGTTTGTGACACACCAAATCAAGTCCTAATTTACACTTGCTTTAATACTACAGTGCCACAGTCCCATTAGAAGTTCAAAATAGTTTCCAATATTGTCAACTTTCCAAAACAACATTCCAATATCAAACGTATCATGTTTGATACACGACTATTGCAGTGGTTTTACAGTCTGTGTAACAACTCCTACCACGTACCAACTGTGGTAGGCAGGAATG